TAAGATGGTCAGCTGCACATCTCATTTGATGAGAAAGAACAATTAACAAGTGAATGCTAGCTTCTCTGAATTGATCCGGAAGTTAGCAAGTTAGCATGCTAGCTTCTCTAAATGGATCTGTCAATATTTGCGATAATTCTTGATTGAAACACTAATCTGAGGACTAAGTAAAGCAAATAAATATGTTTTTAAATAAATTGAATGGTCATATTGGTTAACCTTGTGAAATTTAAATACCTGCAATGTGGATAGTTTTTTACTGTGGAAAAGGTAATGAGGAGCAAACAGTCGGCAAAGAAACAGTGTTTATATCATAAATAATGGCCTCTAGGCGACTATATGCCCCATGAAATAGGCTTTTTTCTGTAATGCACATATTTCTTACATGTCGTCAATGTAATGATATTGTTAAAAAAATACCTAGTATCAGTACCCTTTCTATTTATTTTTTGATTTTGTCCCATTCCTACTGAATGCGCCTTCCTGTTTGACATCTGAATGTATTGAGCTGTTAAGAATTGTTCTCACAAAGAGGTAAAGCAGTGGAAGTGTGTTTTACCAACGTTGGTTTCTCACTTGGCATTAATGTTTAAATATTGCATGTTTTATATTTAACCTCATGATCTTTGCTCAGAATTCGGGTGTACTCTGAAACCTTCACTGTTTGTAGATAAAAGATTGTGTGAAAAACAGTTTGAATTAAGTATATGTGGTAATCATAATCTCTGTGCTCTAAAGAAAACACACTTTGATCTGATAATCAACTTATCATTTCAATGTTGTTTTGAGGGCGGGAAGTGTCTGCCTTAACTGTAGAATTACCTCAATGCTGTCTCTATGCATTGAACTGACGTCACATTTACCGTCTGAGTTCTTTAGCCGTAGAATCCAGACCTGTGGATTTACTCAGCTGCACAAATACACAAAGGAAATGACATCAGCGTTAACATTGGCACCATGACTCACTCTGGAGCGAGATCAGCCTGAACTACTGTAGGTGGGATTGGATTGTTTTATTTGGTATTTTCTTACGTCTTTTACTATAGTTTTCAGACGCATATACATTAGAATTTGATACACAATTCTATGTCGCAACACTGTTCATTTCTTGAGGCATGTTTTTTATTTGATTGTCTAGATCAGCTATTCCCAAACTCAGTAACACCGAGGCCCCCTTAAAAATCTGACGGGTCTGCGTGGCCCCCCAAAATAATAACCAAGAAGACAACATTAAGAATAGGCTCTTCTGGTTATTTTATTTTGGGGAAATAGCCTCTGCTACAAACATTGTAATACAAAAATGATTACAGTGGATTATTCAAGTCAAATAATGAACACAAATATTTTAATATTACAAACAAAACATTATTAATTTAACATTAAATAATTATATTATTGTTTTATTTTTTTTATGACCTCCCGCGGCCCCCCTGCAGTACCCTCGCGGCCCACCAGGGGGCCGCGGACCCCACTTTGGGAGACGCTGGTCTAGATCATAGCAAAGAAGACCAAGGCTATGCATGAGTAATGTCTGTGGATCCAAGACTTTATGAGGAGGCAAAAAGTAAAAGGAAAGCAAACAATTTTTTTTTTCTAAGAGTACCATTTTCCAAAGAACTTCAAAGTCTGTGCTGTTTCCCAATGGAGATTTAGCAGGTTATGTGTTATGAACAGGGTTGGGTTAGTTACTTTAAAAATATAGATATTAATCGATTACGAGTTAGAAAAACTGCTCCAAGAAAGTAGCTACTGTAAGTTACACTGCTTTTGGATGACTTTGTGTCACAAAAAAGAGAACAGAATCAAGTTTGTACGTAGTCTCATTTGAAAGATAAGGAGCTAAGGAACACGTAAATACCAGATGTTCGGGTGAAAAACAAAGCTAAAAGTCAGTTAAAAGTTAAAAAGCAACATCTGTGGTCGTTTTTTTTCGTTTTTTTCGCTAAAGATAAATTCACATTTTTGGATTATTTCTGCAGAATGGATTTTACTTTGGGAAATACAAGTGGATATAATTTTCTTTTGGACTGTTCCAGAGAGAATGATGTATTGCAAGCTGGGAGGAGAGCTGATTTATTTGTACAGCACAAGCCCAAAGGTAAAAAACTATTTCGGAATTGATTTATTTTATGCCCACATTATGTGTTATATCTTTTGAATGCAAAGTCTGATGTAGTTTACACTTGTATATAAATGTAGATACGAAAATAAGCTTTAAAATGATATACAGCTTTTGGGGTTTGGTGTTCAAAATACATCTGCTATTGCCAGCAGAACATTTAAAAACATAAAAACGGCACGCCGGCGCGCCGGTTGGTATTATTTAAACATTGTCAGAGAGGAGACCTGTCTCACATTTTCAGGAAGATTGTTCCAGATTTTAGCAGCATGAATCTGAAACGCAAACTCCCCATGTTTAGTCCTGACTCTGGGCACTAACAGGAGTCCAGTCCCTGTGCTCCTCAGAGTCCGGGCTGGTTCATATGGGACTAACATGTCACTAATATATTTTGGTGCGAGGCCATGGAGAGACTTGTACACAAGCAGAGCTGTTTTAAAGTCTATTCTCTGAGCCACAGGAAGCCAGTGCAGAGACCTGAGAACTGGACTAATGTGGTCGTACTTCCTGGTTCTAGTCAGGACTCGAGCTGCTGCATTTTGAATGTACTGCAGCTGTTTTACAGCCTGTTTGGACAGACCTGTGAGCAGGCCATTGCAGTAGTCTAACCTACTGGAGACAAATGCATGGATAAGAATCTCCAGGTCTGCTTTAGACACTATGTTTTTGATCCTGGCAATGTTTTTTAGGTGGTAAAAAGCTGCTGATGTTACTGATTTGATGCGGCTATTAAAAAAGTTGCTTCTCAACCATTTGGTAAAGGCCTGTATTTAAAGAAAAACTAAGGCTTAAAAAACAATCAAAACGTACTATGTGGCGGTAGTACAGTAAAATAATTATTAAAAGTTTGAAAACTGAAAAAGATAAGATAAGGACTACATTTGTGCCCATTTGCTCACTGAAATGGTATTTATTTGAGTCATTTATTGATCTGAAGTATAGACTAACATCACCATTACTCCTAAAAACTATTATTACATAAGCTGAAACTTTTCAATAATATTATTCCGAGATCACATGTTGTTGAAGAAACACACATCCCAATCAGTGGCAAGAGTTCTGGTGTGTGCCATCTGGTGCACACTGGGGTACTGGGGTTTTACTGCAAATGGCAAAAGCAAATCTTGTATCTTGTAAATATTGTATTGTATTTAATCGAGGTGTAGTTCATTCATCAAAGTTAGCGTTCTTGTAGTTTGTCCGTCATGCTCCTTAAACATGATCTTGAGAACACTTGCTTCTGTATTTCTGGTTCTAAACGCTATATCAAATTGACTGCAAAAAAAAAATATCAGTTGGAAAGATGCCGTGGGGGGCAGAACTTGCTGATATTAGCATGACTGGAGCTAAAAACAAGGTCTGTTTTTGATCGGGAACAACATAGAGAAACGGTTAATAACTCAAAAGACCATCTTGTGTAAAATATGTGGGTTAATACTGGGATAGTTTGACGTATAAGTGAACAAAACAGGATGAAAGCAGTACCCAGCGATATATCCCAGTCCTCCATACCCCAATTACCCCCCTCCCCTCCTCTTATCTAGGCTAATGCAGCAGCAGCAGCAGCAGTGCTAATTTTAACCACAAATCCTCAGCCAAAGCTCGCTTCTTCTATGCTGCCATGTTCTTGTTTATCTGTGATAGAGGAGGAGGGGGATGAGGGGGGGGGGGCGGGCTAATGTTATTTATCCTGGACTTTTCCTGGAGTGACAATAAACCAGAGCAGGGCTAAAATTAGACAAAGAATAGTGCTGGGGAAAGCCAACTGTTAACATGACATATTTTTGGCAATGGTTTTTTGTTTGGCCTGGTGTTATGTTTGAGCACTTTTCCTCCTTGGTTTTTAGGTCTTTCTTTTTTGTCCAGGTGGTTTTGGGCATTTGTTTTTTGTAGAATTGCAGCTCGGGCCGGGATGTAACTAGCCGGAAGTATAAGTAGCTATAGGAGTATAAGTAGCTGGGAGTATGAGTAGCTGGGAGTATGAGTAGCCGGGAGTATGAGTAGCCGGGAGTATGAGTAGCCGGGAGTATGAGTAGCCGGGAGTATGAGTAGCTGGGAGTATGAGTAGCCGGGAGTATGAGTAGCCGGGAGTATGAGTAGCCGGGAGTATGAGTAGCCGGGAGTATGAGTGAAAAAAGAAATATTTTTTGCAAAAGGAGGATGTACAAAATATTGAGTTTAATTGTTTTTTGTGGTTTCAGATGATAACAAATACAAGTATTATTATTATAATTATTATCACTGCATGTGTTTGTCTCCTATATGTATATTTAACTTACATTTCTTATCCAAACAATCCATGGACAAATCATAAACCCTTTAAAGTTCAATACTTGAAGGAAGCAATGCAAATGTATCTTTTTTTTTAGATTTTCTTAGGTGTAGGAACACTAAACAATACATTAATAATTCATTTTTATACATTTATTTATTTAGGTGAGCCCCTAGTTTTTTAATATAGACAAATTGATTGAGATGCAGTTTGATGGTAAAAGTGCCTAAAATCAAGTAGGTAAAGTGACTCAAAATGTAATCCACCAAAACGTTGAGGAAACCATTAAGGCCCTGTCAGGTCATCAATTGTACATCTTGTTACTGGAAACTGGAGCACCTGGAGGAAACCTACCCAGACACAAGAAGAACATGCAAAGTCCACACAGAACGGCCTGGGGGTGGAATCGAACCCAGGCCCAGGCCCAAGCACTAACCAATGCACCACCATGGACCCATATTCTCTCACAAATGCAAAAACAAGCAGTATTTGTACAAGGCTGAGTTGCCGCCATTTGACTGAGCTGCAGATATAAGCCAACAATCCCTGGCTCACTCGCTTCCTGTCCAGCCCGCCAGTGCCTTCTAAAGTAAAAATGCATATCCGTTTTTACAGTATCCGAATAGCCGTTGTCGGAATTTCACCCGGACAACCGTCTGCTTTCTCAAATCTCCCTGTCTGAGCCCGTCTGGCCCACTCACCTTTGCATATGAGGCCCTCCTTGGTGATGGCCTGCTTGCATATGTCGCAGCTCTTGGCTTTCTTGAACGGTTTCAGCTTGAAGGAGTGTGTGTGGACGCCCTCCAACTCGTCAGGCTGTGAAGGAAAGACGGGAGAAAGGAAGTGAAAAAGTGTAATCATAATAGAAGCGTGCAGCCAAGAGAAACAGCATTTTTGATCAGGGACATAGATGGGGTTTTGTTTCTTCGGGCCGAGAACAATGTTGTTCAGTGGAAGGTTTGAGTGTCGGTTCACATCAAGGATAGAGAATGTGGAGAATAGACTCTGATTGGATTTTTATTCAAAGAAACATTAAATAATTAAATGTAGAAGATTCAGTTCATTAATTTATTATATTTTCCAGGCAGAAGAAAAACACATGTTTGTGTGCTTATACCAACTCTCAATTCACAATACAAAGTCATTTTAGTAAGACTTGTTCTGTTAAAGTATTTTTATTTTTTATTTTTTATCTATTCATGAGCAACACAGTCGTTTCAAACATCAAAAGACATATCTGTAACAACAAAAATCTAAATAAATTTGCTGGAAAGAGCAAGGAGAAGAGAAGGAAGAAGAGAAATGTATTTAATCCCACCCTATATTCCATTTACACATTTGCCTCCCGGCTTCTGCAAACTTAAAATTCAATGAAAGAAAGATACCCAGAGAGAAAGAGTTAACACAAACAAGGAAACTAAGGAACATAGAGGTAAACAAACCCATTATAAGCCCAATAGCAAGATACCAACATTGAGGCCAACAATAGTAATACATTAGTACATCTCTGCCCGTCATGCCAATCCGATTGACGTGTTTACATGCAGCTCAACCGCATCAGAATGGCGGGTTTTTTTCCCCAAATTTTTGTGATTAAATTGGAGTAAGTGGGGAATTTGGTTTTGTAGTTGAGGATTGCCAAGGTTGCAATTGTGACGCAAGCCCCCATCTTCTAACTACACACAAATAAATGTTATCTTCCTGTCAGATTCCAAACACATTTACTGTATTTAATAATTACTATAGTTATAAATGAGAAGTGATGAGAATGATGAGGAAAAATTGTCACTTCAAAAATGAAAAAAAGGTCTAAAAACACAAACAAACCAGCACGAAGATCCTCCTGTGTGAGTGGCTCTAACTGTAGTTTAGTAAGGGAATTAAAACGTCATACATACAACCAATCAAACAGCTTTATTTGTCTTAGAGCGAATTTCAGTTTGCGTAACATTGGTCATGCACAGTAGGAAAAAAAAGGATTAAAACAGGCATATCCAAACTAATGGGGCCCTCTGCCTTGATAAGGAAAAGTACCATCATAAACGCAAGGTCATAGCGTCCTACAGCCAACTTCAGCTCTGACCAAATAGGCATGGTATACGTAATATACCTGAATTTCTCCTATGGGGGATCAATACAGTATTTATCTATCTATCTATCTAATAAAGCATAAAGAGATTCCTGGCAAGACTGGGAAGGACCAGCCGCAAAAAACAAGCGCTGAAAATGTCTATTATTGACTAATTAGTATGTTTGGTGTAACTTGTAGTACTGTATTATAATTTGTAATTAGATAGTGGACAAATTATAATAGATATTTTCATAAAAACGTGGGGAATTTTGTCCTCTGCATTCAAACCCTCCTGCAAAATACCACTAGGACGTCTGTCAGGAGCAGTAGTCGCCGTATAGTGCAGCACCTGGGGACCTGTCTCCAGATGTTGATGCTCGGCTTGGTCAGGCCTAGAACTGCACTACGGCTGTATGCGTGTCTGCGTGCTTATGTCACGTTGAGCACATACATGAGCGAGATTGCACTTGCAGCTTTTATCAAACTATTAAGCTAGTGCTAGTCGCTAAAAGAGTCTCAGAATCCGCAGCCTCCGACAGCACAACACCAACACGCTGTCGGGTACAACCTCAGAGACTGAAATAAATAGACTTGTTGTGGCGTGCGTTGTAGAACAGATGCTGCTACTATAGAATCGCCGTCTTTCAGAAACATTTTAGGCGAAATACAAACTGCAGATGGATTGGACAGTATAAGCGACAGAAAAAACATATCTGGAGAAGTGCTACAGCAAGAATCGTCCTGGCATCTTTCGTCATTCATTTTTATGTTCTGTCATTTGAGACAATTAAAACAACTCATTTTCTAGTTGACCTTCATATAAACAACTTCAATAAAGTAAACGTACAAACTTGATTCTGTTCTCTTTTTTGTGACACAAAGTCATCCAAAAGCAGTGTAACTTACAGTAGCTACTTTCTTGGAGCAGTTTTTCTAACTCGTAATCGATTAATATCTATATTTTTAAAGTAACTAACCCAACCCTGTTCATAACACATAACCTGCTAAATCTCCATTGGGAAACAGCACAGACTTTGAAGTTCTTTGGAAAATGGTACTCTTAGAAGTAATTAAAACCCCGCTTTGATTTGTATTGTTTGCTTTCCTTTTACTTTTTGCCTCCTCATAAAGTCTTGGATCCACAGACATTACTCATGCATAGCCTTGGTCTTCTTTG